TGTTGTTTTCTAGAGATCGGCGATCGCCGGTACATTACTGCGAAGATCGTTTTCATTCACGATGATCGCTCTCATTCACGACTTCATCCGCAGTTCGCATGTATGATTTTCATATATTCACAGTCATTTATTAATCACTTCACGGGTGTATTTGAAACAAACATAATGAACATTTCCCAGTTAGCTGGTTGCTCAGTTGATGGAGCGCCGGGTCAAGTCTGAATTTTTTTGTTGTTGTTTTTTTAAGGTCTCATTTTTACTACTGCTCAAGAACTGTGCATTACTGCGAAGATCGCTTTCATTCCAGATCGGCAAAAGATGGCGAAATCAGTCATTTGGGAAATGTACAGACAGCCCGACGAATCAATTCTCAAATACGTTTATTGTAAATCTTGTTTAGGCTCTCCGAGTATTTTAAGTGTAGGCTGGCAGACCTACGGTAAAACTAGGACAAACACATTCACACAAAAAAAGAAACCGCAGTGTTTTCTAAAAATATCAAATTCAGAGTTTGTCTAAGTACATACGAGTTCTGCGAGGCTTCCTGAACAGAAAAAAACAACGTATAAATTCACTGGGGATTTCGAGTTCTCAACGATAACAGCCGAAAAACAAACAAACAAACAGACAGGTGCTTCTGCGATCACGTGGGACTGTGCGGCCCACTGGACAACTAAATAAAATAACTCTACCTTAGTCTCCAAACAGGCTCTTTAATGTGGCAAGATAAAACCTAACACATCCAAAAACTTACATCAAACACTATAAATTGTTGATATAGTCAAGATAAAGATGCAAAAATCGGATACGGTAACATTTGAAAAATGTGGAGAGTCTCATTCTCTGACAAAGAGAAAGAACCTATGTATATTCTATCAAACTATAAAAGTTTCCATACTTCAGGAAGCGTCTCTGAATCTAGAAAAAAAAAAATTGAAAATAAGAAATAAAAAAAAATACTTCTACTTGTTCAGGAACCCTAGGATCGTTCAGTTAGGTGTGATAACGGCGAAGAAGAACAATGTGACTTAAAGACTGTGTAATCACTTAATTTAGGGTGGGGGGACCTGACGATAGGTCCCGACGACACGATTGGGTCAACAGTTCACTTCACGTGATATCGAGAATTTTCGTGCATATGCTCGTCCTTTTTCCAGCGACAGAATTTTTCCGAGAAAAAAAGCCCTGGCACAAATTTAAATCAGTTTGAACGATGGTCAAGGATGAATCATTTTGCGAGGCTTTCCTGAAGTGAAAAATAATTGGTTCTTTTTAACGAATCAAAAGCGGATGTTGTTATAACTATAATTACTGTTATACAGTTGCTCTGTAATTATACGGCCGAGCCACATATCTTATTGGTAAAGTCTAAAATGTAGCATAAACTAGCGACACCAGACAGTGTCTAAAAGGCAAAAGGCAACAACCTCTTGTTATTTCCATTCTTATGCAGATTATCTATAGTAACAACGAGGAATATTTCGTCGTAACAGCACCCTCCAAGTCAAGATCAGTCAAACATCAATTTAATTTGTACATGAATAACAGTTATATAGAGACTTCATCAGTAGTGTTTGACTATGCAAAATGCACAGACAAGCTGTCTAGTGTGTTACAAGAAAAGGAAAAAAAAGCGGCCAGGTTTCTTCTGCGAATTTAAATCAGCAACACCCGGCAAGCAAATATATATTTGTGATAGAACTATTTCCCAATACGACAAGAAAAAAACCCTGTTTACTTAAATAGACTTTCATTAATGAGGTGATTTATCGACTTTTGATACAATTTATGCAAAATTAGGACGTCGTGAATTATCTTAGTTGGAGGTAAAAGTTTTTTTGTAAACATTATTGGTATTGGGAAATAGAAAACTAGATTGCATAAAACTATGTAAAATTAATGTTCTCTTTGTTCTCTACGTGTCGCGCTTGACAGGAACTTTAAGATAATGCCTTTATGCCCTAAAAAGTTTGAAAATAGATCTAACAGTGAACAATTTACTTCAAACACCATTAACTGTACAAATTCTCCTTCTCTTGGGACAATTCTTTTTCTGAAAATCCTCTTCAGTTGTTTAATATATTAGGTGGGTTCTGGTAATAAACAGTGCTGTTAGCGAAAACTTTCCATTTAACAAATCGACCGTGGCCACGGTTTATTGTGGTCTGTGTTTTTATCGACAACGATGTTCTTCGTCACAGTGGTCAAAATGTTGTGGGCTCATGAGGCAACTCGATAAAAAGTCTTAGTTGATATTGATAAAATAATGAAAAACAGGTACTTATCCACCATGTTAGACTTATTTTTTAATAATTTCTTATTATAATCTTCTTCTGTTATAATTTGCGAAATTGATCTCAGGTAAACGTTTAGTCTCAAACGATAACTATATGAAATAGAGATTATCAACTTCTTTCTAAGCATTTCCTTCCCTTTATTTGAACAGATTACAAAATTGAGCGGCTGGCTCTGTTAAAAGCTCGTTATCGCTCAACAATATCTATGAGCTAAGGTGACATATCTCATCAAGTTTTGATCGCAAAGCAAAATCTTAAGCGCATTCTGACTCAATGAAAAAATAGCCTTCACTTCTTCATTACAAATGCGAAAATTGGAGACATATTGATGTTTTGTTATGGCTACTGAACTACAATTTTTCACCTGTTAGTTATTCATGTGATAATTAATATTCGAATACAATGTACTATTTAAAGGTAGCTCTTCATATTTTTCCTCACCCTTTTTTATCATGAAATGGCATATCT